AACATGTATTAAAAGGGGTCGTGTTTAGTCACTATTTAGTGTGGTATTTTTTGACAATATTCACTCCTCATGACAGTAAAATAGGGCATTCTACATCAATATACTGCAGTATTTCCTCTCTCAATCAGTAGAAAATATGGTTAACACCCGGTCATGCATGAAAAAAAAAAATACTGCCATGTACCGTGAAACCGGTATAATTTTGAAAAATACCGTGATATCAATTTTTGGTCATACCGCCTAGCACTACACTATTCCCATTTCAAAAGGACAATTTAGACACTACTGTTTGAACACACACATATTTATTGTGCATTTCATATTTCTACATCAAATATCATATCTCTAAGTCAAACTAAACTAAAAGTAAAGTTTAAAATAAATACATAAATGTGTGTGTATTTTATCGGTGTTGGTCTGACTGGGTCAATATTACACAGGTGAAAAGATTCAATACAACATATCCTAGTAAAACTAGTCCTGTGGCAGCACTAAGAAAGCAGATTCTGATCCAGAGCTGCAGTGTCCTCTCTGACATCTGCAGAGAAATCTGAAGCACATCCTGTGAGTGTGACAGGAAGAGCACCTGATCATGTTCAGCACCTCAGAGACTCACTGATGGATTCAGATTCAGACAGAACGTCTGTGTGTTTACAGCAGAGGTGTTGATTCAGTCAATTCAAACTTAACTTTGACAGACAGACAGATGGACAGATGTTGTGTGTTCTTACAGCATTGGAGGTGTGCAGGTACTGAGACACCATCTCTCTCTTGATGACGATATCCTTCTGCCTCAGCGGCCGCTGCTTCTCCTCATTCAGATTCATATCCACCTACAGACAGAGAGAGACGATTTTGTGAAGGAAAACAAAGAGAAAATATTGCTTTTAATTCATATTACCTTTTAATTGTTTGTTATTTTATTTTAAATAAATTAATAGATCCAAACAAAAAGGGTGTTTATCATGAATATCAATTTAATAATTTAAATAAATTTTTTTTAAATAATGTATTTTTATCATGAAAAATTTTATATTTATGAGATTAATATTTAATTATTATTATATTTATATTAAATAGTTTTTAATACCATTCGTTTTATGGTTTTTCATATTTTTAAAATATCCCACAACATTAGTGTGTTGTTAGTCATGAATTATGAATTTATAATTAATATTTTTTAATTCAATTTACTTTTAGCATGAAATTATTAATTGTTATTTAATTCGTATTACAATTCTTTTAAATAAATAAATAGATGTTTTAATAAATAGCGAACTAAAATGTGTGTTAATGAATGTATGTTAATATATATAT